ATTTTTATACTGCATCCTCTCCTGTGTGATCTCAGAGCAGTTTACAATAAAATATCCGATGATAATATACATAAAATACATCTAAGCATTAAAATAGCGCCGGCTAAAAATACAATTATGGTAAAAATTCATCAGACATCAACTCTTGCTCCCTGCCTGAGCAGACCATGAGAGGGAGGGCAGGCAGGGCTGCCTCAGTGCTTAGTTCTTGTGGCCCTCTCTTACACGCCCAGGGAAATGCTGATCACCACTTTGGGGTCCGGAAGCAATTTTTCTCCAGGCCAGTTTTGGCTAGGGATCCTGGAGGTTTTTGGTCATCTTCTAGGCATCTGGGGTGTGTGGGCCTACTGGTGCGGCCTACAGGCCTAGTGGCTCCAGGGAAGCCTGCATTGGAGTAATCATCAGGGCCTACATTTCCCAGGTTCCCCCTGGACCCTGTGATTGGGTAAAAGGAGATTTTGGAGGGGAAACTACATCAGCAGGGAAACAGGGGCGGTGCCTGGAGAGAGGAGATAAAAGGCCTTACTCAGAGAGGGAGGGTGTTCTTTCTCAGGGAGCAGAGCTGGTGGAAGCTGCTGCAGATCGAGGGATCCCTCATCCAAAAGGGGTGAGTTAGGCTGTGAACAGGCACCTAGGGAAGGCTAGGACTGTGTAGACAGACGTGTTAGGATTTATTATTTTACTGATTTACCTGCCTTTACTTTGCTGATTTTTCCTACTTGTTATAGATCTAAAGTTATTGTAAATAAAACTATTTGTTACTTTGCCTGAGTCTTCACACCTCATTTGGTCACGTACAAGGGGAAACCTGTTGTTAAGTCCTGTAAAAAGGGGTAGGGTGGGTGCTCTGGGCCCTCCCAAGGAGACCAATACCAGAGTGGTGGCAGCCAATAGTTAACCTGCCTATCCTTGCCCCCGCCTCGGGGGGGGGGGGGGGGAGTATTTGTGAATTTCCTGCATTGTGCAAGGGGGTGGACTAGATGAACCTGGAGGTCCCTTTCAACTCCATGATTCTGTGACTGTAAATTGGGTGGAAAGGCAGCGTTAAAATGTTTTAAATAAATTCATAAATACATGAAATGCTCCAGAAATCAAACGAGCCAGGCACAGCAGGAACAGCTACACAGTTGCTGGCACTCAGTAGTAGACTGTCTTTGAATATCCCCCATGAATGTCCTTTACGCATTTCATGTAACCCATTTTGGTGTTGTGGCTGTTGCCAGCTACTTCTCAGCCTGTATTGAGCTGACCCCAGAAATATTTCTGCGCACTCAATTATCCGCAGAGCTACTTCACATGTGGCCTTTCCCAGAATGGATTTGCAATTTTCAACCATCAGATGTGTATCTGCTGTTTTAATCTCCAGAATACTTGTACCTACTGGTCTGCCAAACTCACACCTGGAGAGCTAGACACATAGATCTTTCACTTTCACCAATGACAAAGTAGCAGAGCTTCAGGTTTCTACTAGAGACCAGTGTTCCCTCTAAGCTGAGTTAGTGTGAGCTAGCTCACAGTTTTTTAGCCTGTGGCTCACACACTTTTGTCTTGGCTCCAGAGCAAACTAATTTACGCAGTAGCCAAATCGATTGCTCACAACTTTAATGCCAGTAGCTCACAAAGTAGAGGGGTTTTTTTGCTCACAAGACTCCACAGCTTAGAGGGAGCATTGCTAGAGACATAACTTAAGTATGGAAATTTGGCAAGGCAGTGTTCTATAAGTAGCAAACACATGTTAATGCATTGGTGGAAAGTGTCCTCAAGTCACAACTGGCTTATGGCAACCCTGTAGGGTTTTCAAGGCAAGAGACTAACAGAGGTGGTTTGCCATTGCCTACCTCTGCGCTGCCACCCTGGACTTCCCTGGTGGTCTCCCATCCAAGTATTAACCATGGCCAACCCTGCTTAGCTTCCAAGATCTAACAAGATGGGGCTAGCCTGGGCCATCCAAGTCAGGACACACGTATTTATATGTGGAGTAAATACGGCCACAACCCAAAGTCTCCTGCCTATCTTCAGTCTGAACAAACTTAGAAGGAGGTTACTGGGAGCCAAAGGAAAGAACTGCCGTCTGTGTAAGTAGTATTATTAATGGGAACATCTGATGTCTAAATAGGGGAGGAGAAAGGAGAGGGGTTAATGGGAGGTCCTGTCCAACTCAGATCTACAATCTGATCTGGAGCAGGTGTTGGGTCTGTAATGCATTCATATTGAAGGTAGGCAGTACAAGCCCCTGAAATGTGGATTCTGATCCAAGAGAATAAGAATGTCGCCAACTTCTCTAATTCCTAGTGAACATACACCTTTTGTTCCAAGTCTTGCAAATGGTCTCTCCATAAGAGGCTTCAACTCCTGAAGTAGGATTCCCCCACTCCAATCCTACTCAAGTCATGGAGGGGGAGCCAGAGTTCCATAACAGGTTCTTGAGATGATGACCATCCCTGAACAAAGATCTACTTCTGGTCCTCTTCAGTGGGAGACTAGATATCAAAATGGTACTGTCCTAAGCTGATACTTGAGCTATTGGGGAAAATACTGGAGGTGCTTCCCAAGAACCAGTTTGGTGTAGTGGTTAAAAGAGGTGGACTCTAATCTAGAAAACTGGGTTTGATTCCCCTCTCCTCCACAGGAAGCCAATGGGGTGATCTTGGGTCAGTCACAGTTCTCTCAGAACTCTTTCAGCCTCACCTGCCTCACAGGGTGCCTGTTGTGGGGAAAGGAAGGGAAGGCGATTCTAAGCCAGGTATAAAACCAACTCTTCTTCTTCTTGTATGCCATCCAACAAAGGACAGTACAGCCATTCCTTGTTCAGCACCACGGACAGGGCCCCAGAATACCCGATGGCCACAGTGCAACATTTGGAACACAAATGTTTTTAAAAGAAAAGCAAAAGTCCCTGGAACACACACAGGGAAGTAAACCCTGGCACCTAATGTAATAGCCCTATACACATAGTCTAATCATATGTTCAGTGAACACTCAGAGAGACAGGAGCAGATTCATATGATACTGGATACAATAAAAGAACATGCATATATAATTATATATATATTAACAGCAGCTAGAATTCTAATAGCAAAGAGATGGAAATCCAAAAACACCCCTTCCATAGCAGAACTTAAATACAAAATTCTAGAAATAGTAGAGATGGCTAAACTAAACATAACATTACAAAATAAACCAGAGGAGCTGTTCTGGGACAGATAGGGGAAAATTTATACTTGGCTAAAGATAAAGAAGATAAACTGAAATATGAAAAATGCTAGTTAAGATTTGTGACAAGATACAAGAAAGATGAATTTTGTGTTATGATCTGTATAAAAAAATAATTAAATATGTTAATGTGGAAAAATCAAAATAAATTTACAAAAAAAGAGCATGCTTTCCCTGCCCCTCACCTATGTGTAATTTATTTTTTATTTTATTAATTTTTTATTAATTAGATTTCTACCCCGCCCTCCCGCCGAAGTGGCTCATGTGCACAGCATCTGTGTGCTGAGGAATTGTACACATGTAGGCTCAGGAATGTTGGGAAACCAGTGTTGCCAATTGCAGGGTTGGCACTTATGTAGACGCATGTCCTCCACATGCAGATTCCATGCTCATGAGCTAGTGATCATATTTTGGCAAGTGGCAGGCCCAGGGCCAGTGGGGTTATACCTGCTCCTCTTCTATGCATGTGGATCAAATGTGCAATCAGAATATTTATCCAGAGCCAATATGATTCTACATCAGGTAGGTGGCATAAAGCATACAGCTATTAGCATTATACCACTTGGAAAAATAGAATCATTGAATCATGGAGTTGAAAGGGGCCATACAGACATAAGAACATAAGAACATAAGTTGGACCATCTAGTCCAACCCCCTCCCCAATGCAGGACCAGCCTAAAGCATCTCTAACAAATATTTGTCCAGCCTCTTCTTGAAAGCCGTCAGTGAAGGGGAGCTAGCCACCTCCCTAGGCAGCTGATTCCACCTCTGAACCACTCTGACTGGGGAAAAGTTTTTCTTCCTAATATCCAGCCGATCCCTTTCTGCATGTAATTTAAACCCATTGCTTCGGGTCCTATCCTCTCCTGCCAACTGGAACAGCTCCTTGCCCTCCTCCAAGTGACCACCTTTCAAATATTTAAAGAGAGCAATCCTGTCCCCCCTCAATCTCCTCTTCTCCAAACTGAACATTCCCAGGGCCCTTCACCTTTCCTCCTAGGGCTCAATCTCAGTCAGACTAATCACGTACACTTTAGAAACAAGCAATGGCAGTAGGACATTATAGCTTAGTGGCAGCACACACGCCTTGCATGTAGAAGAGCCCAGATCCACTACTCAACATCTACCGCAAAAGGATCTCAAGGATCTCATGATGGGACAGGCCCCTCTCATCCTGAATGTGGGAGAGCTGTTATAAATCAGAGTAGACTGGGCTGAGTAAGAAAAGATAGACCCATGGTCCATCTTGGGGTTAAGGTGGTTTTAGGGTGGGTGGTGGGAACTGCTGTCATGTTGCAGCTGACTTAGGGTGGCCTTGTAGGGTTTTCAAGGCAAGAGACAAACAGAGGTGGTTTGCATCCTGTCTCACACAGTGGCCAACTAGTTCCTCTGGAGGGCCAACAACAGGGCCTAGAGGCTGAGGCCTTCCCCTGATGTTGCTTCCTGGCTCTGGGATTCAGAAGTTGAGTGCCTCTGAACGTGGAAGTTCCCCTCCGTCACCATGGCTAGTAGCCACTGATAAACATATCCTCCATGAATCTATCTATTCCCCTTTTCAAGCTGTTTATTCCTGTGGCCATCTCTACATCCTCTGGCAGCGAATTCCACATTTTAATCTCTCTCTGTGTAAAATTACTCGTTATTGAGGCATCTACTGTTGGTGATCTACCACATGTGAAGCTGTCTTATACTGAATCAGACCCTCAGTTCACCAAAGTCAATCTTGTCTACTCAGAATGGCAGCAGCTCTCTGGCATTCACACAGCCCACTGCCTGGTCCTTTTAGCTGGAGATGCCAGGGATTGAACCTGGGACCTTCTGCATGGCAAGCAGAGATTTTCCCACTGAGCAACATCCCCCTCTCACACCTGCAGCTTCCTCTCCTCCATTCTAGATCAGCAAAGAAAATAGTTCCCACTGAGACTAAAGGATTAGGTGTTCTAACACTGAGGGAGGGAGCCGTTTGTTGAGCGGGCACAGGAGTCTCCCAAGGACTGTACAGTTTCCCTGCTGCCGAGGGCAAGTCCCTTTTACATCACTCAAGCTGCCATTTAGCACAAGCCAAAAACCTTCCTCTCCATTACAATAAGGAAAGGTCAGTTGAATGCAGACAGGTGCAAAAGCCGCCAGGAAGCAAGCTGACAATAAAGCTTGGGTACCTAAATGTCAACACTGGAGGGAACAGATTTCAGGCTGGTGTGAACCTCTGAAACTGCCTTATCGTGAGTCAGCCCCTCCGTCCACCGAGTGCACATGGGCAGCAGCTCTCCAGTATCTTTCTGAAGCCTGCTTTTTGTGGGGGGATAAATCTGGGTTTGCCCCAGGCAAAGCTAAAGGCCCCAGCCAGCTGCGGCAGTTTTATACCTCCTCCAGGTTAAATCCAATTGGACCTTCCAGTCAGCTGATCCCAGCAGTTCTCATTGGATCCCTCCTGGCCAGGAGTGCTTCCTCCATTGCCCGTCATGATGAGGGTACTGTGGTACACAGAAGACTGTGCGAACAGCTCTCCCTCGGAAAGCAAGCAGTTCAGTGGGCACCCAGTACAAGGCTCAGTAGCTGGTGGCCCTCAGTTCTGGATTCAAGTCTCCAGAACACCTGGCAGTAACCTTCTTCACAGGGAAGAAGAGGAGGAGGAGGAGGAGGAGGAGGAGATTGGATTTGTACCCCACCCTTCACTACCCAAAGGCATCTCAGAGCGGCTTACAAACTCCTTTCCCTTTCCCTTCCCCTCCCCACAACAGACACCCTGTGATGGGGCTGAGAGAGCTCTTACAGAAACTGCTCTTTTCCAAGAACAGCTATGCCAGAACTATGGCTTGCCCAAGGTCATCCAAACAGGTGCAAGTGGAAGAGTGGGGAATCAAACCCGGTTCTCCCAGATTAGAGTCTACTCATTTAACCACCACACCAAGATCTCCTGGATGGCCCAGGCTAGTCTGATCTTGTCAGAGCTTGGAAGTTAAGCATGGGTCAAGCCCTGGTCGGTCCTTAGATGGGAGACCACCAAGGAAGTCCAGGGTTGCAGAGCAGAGGTAGGCAAGGGCAAACCACCTCTGGAAGTCTGTCCTTGGAAACACTATGGGGTCGCCGGAAATCAACTGCGACTTGATGACTCCCTTCCACCACCACCAAGACTCCGAGAGTCTGACAAAGGGAACTTTGGCTCATGAAAGCTTACACCCTGGAAATGCTGTCCTAGGTGCTAAGGTGCTACTGGATTTGAGCCCTGTGCTTTCTAGGTCGCTTCATTTCTTTTTTCTTTTTTTCTTGAGTATTTGCACTGTGTGTGTGCGTGTGTGTGTGCGTGCATGCGCACGCCTGTGTAGGACAAAGGATCGATGGATGTGATTGATGAATGTGATTTTTGATATTTTTCTTGACATGTAGAATGACAGCTGTCACTCTGCCTTATTAGGAGTTTGATTAAAAGTGAATTTAGGTCTTAGCCTTTAGCCCAGGTAGAAGAGATGTAGAGTAGAATGAATGAGAGTATTTTTAATTTTCAACGGTTGCTTCTAGATAGATTCAGAAAATAACAGAATGGAATGTATGTTTTGAAATTACAAGTTCCCCAGCTGAAGGACATCTGAGAAGAGAAGTTAGGAGACGGAAAGACCCTTAGTACTTTCAAAGCAAATATCTTTCTGTGTAGAGTAGAGCATCCAGCCCCACGGAGTCTGCCAAGAGCTAAGTTTCATGCATCTTATCAGGAAACTCCCTAGTTTCAGACCGAAGCAAATAAGAAGAGATTGGATTTATACCCCGCCCTTCACTTGGAGTCTCAGAGTGGCTTACAAACTCCTTTCCCTTCCCCTCCCCACAACAGACACCCTGTGAGGTAGGTGGGGCTGAGAGCGCTCTGACAGAAATTGCTCTTTTTTCAAGAACAGCTCTTATCAGAGCTACGGCTTGCCCAAGGTCATCTAGCCAGGTGCAAGTGGAGGAGTGAGGAATCAAACCCGGTTCTCCCAGATTAGAGTTCGCACACTTAACCACTACACCAAACTGGCTCTCCAGGAACGATGCCAAAAGAAGGCCCCTCTGTTTCAAGACCAGATAAGCCGACACAATTACTGACACTAGTGATCCAGATGGGGGCTTGCCAACAGAGAAGTGCCAGCTCAAATGATGCTCTGACAATGAGACCTGTTGGACACCAGTTCAAGATTTCTTAATGTATAAACTGTAATTATGACATTTGGGGTATAAGACCTATTGCCCTTCCTGGTTAGGGCAGAATACAACTTGGCGTTACTGGGTGTGAAGGCATCCCGTCCTGCATTTTCCTGTTATTGCAATAAACAGATATTTATCCTCTCCCTGGACTCCAACCGTGCGTTCCTTATTCGGCCCCAGGAGCACACAGCACACAGATCTGTGCATGACCTGGAAGTCATGGTTGACTTCTGGAGACCCCTAGTGGGGCCTGGACATTTCAGTGAGGTGGCTTGCTATTCCTTGCCTCTGCATCCCAGCCCTGGTATTCTTTGGAGGTCTCCCATCCAAGGACTTGCCAGGGTCGGCCCTGCTTAGCTTCTGAGACCTGATGAGATCGGGCTTGCCTGTTTTCTGTGTTGCTTTTGTGTGCAGCACCTGGTGAGGAAGAAGAGGATGAAGCATCCCCTCTCCTCTGCCACCTGAAGGCAGGTTTAGAGTTGCAAAAGGAAGGGGAATAGATTTCTCATCCCTGCCCTTCCCCCAACCAGAGGTATCTTGTTCAGGAGATGCAGGAAAGGCCTAATCAATAACCAGCATGCCCCTCCCAAGACTGATACGTCATGGACACATTCCTGGGGGGCCTCTCATATCACAATGCTGTCACCACCCTTGCTGGACCACCCACCCCTCTGCTCCTCTTCTAAGCAAAAGAGAGCACCACCCAAGAAAAGAATCCGGTTGTTTTCCTCTCTTCTCCCGCCTTTGACGCCGGCTGCCGCCTACTTGAAACCGGAGAGTTTTTCACCTCACTTTGAACTACCTTTATTTGACAATACCAGTTCTCCCAGGGAACGGCGGTTCTTTCACAAAGCAAACAAGCCAGACTGAAGGAACATGCAGAAGAGGAGGCGGATGAAGATGGGTGTAAGTGGAGGGGCCGTGGCTCAGTGGAAGAGCCTCCGCTTGGCATGCAGAAGGTCCCAGGTTCAGTCCCAGGCATCTCCAGTTAAAAGGACCAGGCAGTGGGGGATGTGAAAGTCCTCCGCTTGAGACCCTGGAGAGCCACTGCCGGTCTGAGTAGACAGCACTGACTTCGTGATTCAATATAAGACAGCTTCATATTGTGTATGAGGCGATTAAGCACACACCGGAGAGGTCAGCTGGCATTTTCCTTATTGCCTCGGCAGGGGGTGACTAAGCGGTTGTTCTCCCCACCGGACACACAACACTCTCTTGCCGTGTCTAAAACCTGTGCAGCCTGCAGGCAGCCTCATACAACTCCCAGACTGACAGTCCCACCCTGCTCAGATTGCAGTGGACTTAAAAGGCTGTGATGCTGCCGGGCACTGGGGAATGCCTTGTTCCCCAGACCTGGCCCTGCCTCCTATTCAGCACCCAGAATGACAACACCCATTTCCCACCATTCACGGACACGACACAGACAGGGAGAAAATGCTTATTGCAACAGTGCTTCCGAGTGAGATGATACTAACAGTGCAATCCCAAGAACCCTTTCCCGAGCGTAAGCCCCACGGAACAGACCCGAGTGGATTCTAAGTAGATGTCCTTAAGATTGCTCTCCTCTCTCCCCGACCACCCCCAGATAGACATGCTTTCCCACCCGATTACCACAGCCCTAGAACGGGTATTTCCCTCACTCACCTCCTTGCCATAAACACAGTTTTAAAAAAAACCCTAAACATACACATTGGTTCTATATAAAATGCACCCGAGGCACTGCTTTGCCTTCTCATCTCCTCTGTATATTTTATCTTTAAACTGAGCTGGCCTCTTTGCGTGCGTGTGTGTGTGTGTGTGTGTGTGTGTGTGTGTGTGTAAGTAACACAAATCACTGGAGAGGAACAGCTAGTTACCAAGGAAACTCCCCGATGAATCAGAGAGACGGACTGGTATAAGATCTAGACATACTGTATCTTCTTAATTCATGAGACCATAACATTTGAAACGAGGCAGGAGGTGGGGAGAGAGGGAGGAAATACGAGCCCAGACAGGGAGACACGCGTCCCTCCCATCAGCACCAAGGACAGCGCTCATTGTTCGGCCGGGGCCAGGCGAGCGGAATCCGAGATGGATTGAGGGGGATTTCTCTGGCGCGCTCTTGGATTCGGGGTGGGGAGGGGGAAGGAGCATTGATACCATCCAACGACGAAGTGGTCCAGATGGAGGTGACCGAAGAGAAAGCGGGGGTGCTTTTTGCCGTCTTGTCTCTGCCCAGGAGTGAAACAGAAGAGCCAGGGTCCAGGTTGCCCCGGGAAAGCCTCTTCCTCTTTGTTTTCCTGACGCCTGGATGTGTTTGAGAAGTGTAGGCTGGATCTTCTGTCTTCTTTCTGGTTCATATTCCTGGACAGAGCCTTGAGATTTATTTATTTTTAAATCCTAACCGGAAGAAAATCCCCAGACCCTGCTAGTTTGTATTCAGTCTCCCCTGGGCTCTTGTCGGCTTTTCAAAGGATGCCTCTCTATTACGCTTTGGAAATTCTGGCCGGGAGCCCATTCGCCGCATTCTGACTTCCGTACGATTGCTCCAAGTGGCAGGTGAATTGACAGATCTGGCAAGAGAGACATCGGAAGGAAGGAGGGGGGGTCTTCTTTGCCAGCGCAGAGGCATGAACCCCCACGCTCCCTGCTGCCCAAGGGAGCCCCGTAATGTCCACAAAGCATGTGAACGGCTCAGCCAGCC